GCTAAAAGCAACCACCAGTGAAGAGCGAGCATAGATGTCCTAAGCCAAGTCACCGTAGAAACAATCATATCCCATAACAGAAATACCCCAGGAAAAGTCTCAGAGACGTGGGATGCTTTCCTGGCCATATCTGAACAATCCTATTAAATGTACAGCCTCCTCCCTCAATTCACCCTCTTCTCTGGCCACTTCCTTCCTTCCTCCGCTCTCTCACCCTCCGCTGCATGTTGCTTCTAGTCTTTATCTTAATTGAATCATTTTTCTTCAATTAGCTGCCTGTGTATGAACAAATTTTGTTTGTGTGCAAAACAAATAATTGATCTGTATTTGAACTTTCATATTATAGATACAATTAACTGTTTCAAATATAGCTAAGGTTAGTTAGCAAATGGTTAATATGAGATGTTTACATATAATTTTAAAAGTCTCAGAGGGGTAGCTGTGTTTAAAGTCTGTAACTTTTACAAAAACAAGTAGTTCTTTGGCACCTTAGAGACTAACTCAAATATATATAATATCATAAGCTTTCGTGGGTAAAACCCACTTCTTCAGATAAGCCTGAGCATATATATTTTAAGTTTGTTTCTTCTGTAGACCTATTTTTTAAAAAGTGAATAAAAAGCTAATAGAAACCCCCCCCCCCTCCATTTTGTTATCCAGTTTTGGAAAACTGGCGCTTGTGTGTGTGTGTGTGTGTGTGCGCATGCGCTTTGCCTTAACACAGTTCTTTGCATTTGATTCCTTAGATTTCAGAAGCCCTAGGGAAACATGCAGACATCAACAGCACATCCACACTAACATGGACTTTACTAACAAGTTACCTGCCTCAACGTCATGGGCCATGGCTTGAGCAGGGCTAGAAAAGTCTCGTGTAGACAAGCCGTGGAAATGTAAAGATTCTGCTCTGTTCTATTCAGGACAGGTGCTTCATCTCCCTGAGTACCAGCCAGCAGTGCTTTGTGTCACATGACTGGCAGCTGCCATTTGTGGCTCCCATCACACAGAAATTGGGGGCAGAAGTTAATAGATTCTGTGTGCTCTGTGCCACGTCACCAGTCCCTCACCATCCAGCCTCACGGTTCCAAAAACCATGAGACGGGCTTTACAGTAATAAATGCTGGGTGTTCCTCTTTGCCTTCTGGAATGTGAGCCTTCCGGCTGCACTTGGGGCACGGTTTCCAGCTTTTCTCAGTACAACCACAGAGCGCTCTCTGGTCAGCTCAGTGCTGCGCCGATGAGAGAGGCCACCAGGAAGCGCTCTCCGCGCCGTCCAAACTGGAGCAGGGGCAAGTGATGTGTGGCAAAGCCACCCGCCCATCCCTAGAGCGAGCTGTGAATCCACAGGCTGGGCCATGTGCACAGATCACGGACCCAGGACCACAGACTGACTTTTTAATGCAAGCTGCGATTCTTAGTCTCCCCTGACTCCAGGAGCTGGGGCTTTAAGAAAAGCATTGCATGCTCCTGCCTGCGCTGGGTGTTTATGTTACCCAATGCCAGGGCGCCCCAGTGCAGCTCACCCTCGGCAGGAAAGGTGCTGAGGTGAGGCTCGTGGTGAGTCTGAAGGCTGCCACAGAGCGTCCCTGCTTTCGAACTGTGGTCCCTGAGCCCAGATGTCAATGACAGCCCAAGGGGCAGGGGACAGGCGGACAGCCGGTGTGCGCTGCCAGAAGCTCTAGCTCGGTTGGTGACAGAAAGGCAAGAGGCCCCGTGTGCGGCTGGTTTCGGGTTTGCAAGTTTTGGCAGAAGAGCCCAGCCGGTTTCATTTCTCTTTATGGTCACTTGGAGCCAGACTTTCACAAGCCCTCGCCTTGGCTGCCCCTGGGTGCTGAGTTCTTCTGCCTCGGGACTCTCTGGCCTTGCCCAATGCTGTGGCGTCTGGGCTGCGCGCCCCACAGCGGAGGCATTTTCCCTTCAACACAGAGCTGGGCTGCTTCTGTTGCTCTCAGGCTCCACCGTAAGGGCTTCCCCCGCAGGCAGGTTTCACAGCAGCCGGAGGGAGGGGTGCAGAGTCGTACGGGGAGGGGCCATGCTGGGTGTCGCACTGCACCCGGGCAGTCTGGGTGATGCTCTGGGACTCTCCAACACACCCCAGGGACCATCCAGGCAGCGCAGGCCCTGTGCCCCCATTAACAGGGTTCCAGTTAGGGAATTACAAGGGGTCAGTTTCACAAGAGAATATTCAGTGGGCCCGAGACCCTGCCGGCTCCCTCCCACGCACGCTCGCCCAGGCACGAGGGACTCCGCCGTCCGCGTGCGACTGGCAGCAGGTCTCAGTCCCGGGCACTGTGGGCCAGACCGAGCCCCGGGTGAGAGCTGCTCCGAGGCTGCCCAAGAACACAGGAAGCCTGAAGGTGGCTGGGGGGGCCCAGGAGCCTGCAGACGGCCGGCTCAGGGGCTGCACGTGGCCCAGGCCTGCGGATGCCCAGCTCGCTCTAGGGACGGGCAGGCGGCTTTGCCTTCCACTGCCGAACAGCAAGGAGAGCGTCTCCTGCTGGCCCCTCTCATCAGCGCAGCGTTGAGCTGACCAGAGCCCTCTCTCCCTGCTACGCCCGCAAACCCGAGCCTGGCTGTGGGGCAGAGCCAGCGAGCCCCGCAGAACTAACTCTGACCTGGGCGGGTGGAGCCGGGCAGCAGACTGGGTGGGGCAGGGACCAGCGGGACGGGCTGAAAGAGGAGACACATGAAGCAGGAAGCTGGCGCCTGGAGCAAGGGCAGGGAGGGAGCCGCTGGCGAATGGGGACAGCCTGGAGCCAAAAGTAGGGAACTGAGGCACCCTCCTGAGCTCAGCCCGCCCGGCAGCACCAGGCCAGCGAGCGGGGCCGGCTTGGACTGAGCCAGGAGGGGAGGCAGAGAATCCATGTGGATCTAGCCTGGAGCGAGGGAGCCTGGCCTGGCCTGGGCTAGGTGAACGGGCGGTGCTACCCCAGGCCTCCTAGGAGACAGGGCTGGGGTTTGGCAGAGGTGCCTGGGCAAGAGCTGGGACCCGTCTCCATGGAAACGCTGCTGGGCCGGGACACCCCATGCTGAGGGCCATGGGTCCCCGGCAGGGTGGCGTGGGAAGTGGGCGAGGGGAGACTCTCGGAGTCACAGACTCGGAGCTGCAGGCCAAGGGAGCAGAGGAGACTGGCTCGGGGAGGCCTAGCTAGGGTGGCAGGGGGTGCTGTGTGCTGCCGGAGGAGCCGAGAGCCTAGCCTGGCGGCTGATGGGAATAGATGAGCTCAGGGACCACGGAGGCCATAAGGGCTGCTACGATCCTCTCCTCGGAGCCCAGCTGTGCCGGACGGATGAGGAGGAGGGGCCGGGCCTGGCCCCGTGCCCTGCCCCCACTGGTGACCCCCCCGGCAGTCAGCCCCCCCGCAGGGCAGCACTGGGACACGTCAGTCCAAAGCAGGCGGCAAAGAGCCACACGGGATCTCTCAGGGTTGGGCAACCAAACGTCAGATGAACGTGGCTGGGGGCAGCGCGAAGGAGGCGGGCAGGGACGGAGCGCGCGGGCGGCCGGCAGGGGGAGGACGCTCGGCCTGACAGGAGCTGCAGCAAAGGCTCCTGCTGTGCTCCAGCCGGTTCCAGCAAGGAGGCCAATGCAAGAAGCAGGCCTAGGAGAGAGGCTGGACCAGGCTCTGGGAGACGCTGCTAGAAGGACAGGGAGGGCTGCGGGGAGCAGGGAATGGCAAGCAGCCTCCTGCTCAAACCACAGCTCAGTGTGAGGGGCGCCGGGCCCTGTGGGACAGAGGTCTGGCCTCTGGCTGGAACCCATGACTAGGAGGCACCTGCCTTTCCAGGGGCTGGCTGGGGGGATCCCAGAGAAGGCTGGCGGGCAGGTAGAGCTGCCCTTGCAGTTCCCGGCCAGGGATTTCTGGCTTAGGTGGCTCTGGAGCAGCCCCGCCCTTGTGTGACTGCTCCAGCCTGCCCCACTGCTCAGGAGCACCGGGCGAGGCTCAGAGCTAGGCCCGGGGCAGCCCCACACTCGACTCTCAGAGCAGCCCCCATCCGGTGCCTCGGCCTGGAGCAGCGGGAGTGGAGCTGGGCTGCCGTGAGCTTGGTCAGTGAAGGCTCCGGCCCTGTTTGCTGGACGGGTGCCCAGCAGGCCCCTCAAACAAACCAGGGACCCAAGCAATGCCAAGAACAGCTGCAAACAGGCAGCTC